CAAGGAGCAGGGTCCTCGATCCCCTCATGTATGGTATTGTTACTGTACTGTCTCGTGTATTGTCCCCCATTGTAATGTAAAGCGCTGAGCAAACTGTTGGCGCCATATAAATCCTGTATATTAATAATAATATGTGGTGGTTTGAACCTAAATCATGCTGTTTCCAGGGGTTATCTCAGATTATTGTTGATAAATTGCGACGTGGGACAGCGTTGGGTTCATGTTGGACGCACAAAACTGAAATCTCCATAAACACGTTCTACCATTACAGCCTATGTAATCTGTAGAGCCGTCTGTCTGATGTATAGAGGGATCATCCATTACAACCGATATCCCCGACGCTCTGACATTGTCCACACTGGAAACATAATCTCCAGCAAGGAGATTCCACCATTGGATTGTAAAACCATCCGCCCCGTAGATGATTATTCTTACGGGACAGTTTTCTTACCGCAAAAAAAAAAAAAAAAAAAGATTTTTAATCACATGCTGTCCGGGGCAGTTTGTTTTTTTCAGACACATCTTACAATGAGCATTGTTTTGCTAGAAAATGACTTAGAACCCTGGAAAATAAAATGGTGGCTGTTTTTTTGATGTAATGCAATATTTGCGCAGCCATTTATTAACCACTTTGCACCATGTGACGGGAGTCACTTTGGATGGGGGGACCATGGAACACAGCTCACTTTGGAGAGTTGGGAGACCCCTGTCTCAGCTCCCCATATCCCTATTATGTGTAAGTAACCCTGTGCCTGTTAGGGGTACAGGGTGATCTGTCCTGATATTGGGGTGGGGGGTTGTTGATTGTTTGGTGTCACGTGGTTGCATCCCGTTGTTCTATTGTGTGTCTTGCTTGGGGGCAAACTATTATGGGATGTATGTGTTTATGGGTATTGGCTTGGTGGGGGGGGTGTCTCCAGCAGCCCTCCCTCCTGATGAGACTGTCTCTTGGTGTGTCTCTTGTTACTAAATGTACATTGCCCCGCCCTGTGTCATTATGCAGGGAGGGGGGATTGTCCCCTTGAATGTATATATCTTGTATCAGTGTTAAAAAAACTAGTCTACTTCCTGGTTTACTTCAAGACTGGTGTTGTCTAGTCTTGTATGGTCTGCTGTTCGGCCAGGGAAGTGGTATTCTAATAAAAGTACCCAAGTGCAGTCTGAGGTCGGTTCCGTTACACCCATGTACATAAACGGCCAGACGGGAGCAAACCCGTAAACGGCACCCACATTCTCTGCCTGTGCACGCTCCCTGGTAGCGCGCGGCACCACGATCCGGTGCCCACTGTGTCTGGAACGCCGATCGCTGTACTGAACCTCTGTGTGAAGTCCCGATTCATGTGATCACTGATTGGCCAATCAGTGATCACATGAGCAGTAGTAAACTGTTTCCTCTTGTATCAAATTGTATTGTAACTGTAATGTCTGCCTTCATTATGTAAAGCGCTGCTCAAACTGTTGCCGCAATATAAATCCTGTATAATAATAATAAACAAGATGTCACTTCCTGACATCATTGCTTACTACGTGTGAAATCTGTGAATGATCACAGAGATCACATGGTACAGGGCTATTCACAACAGCCTTGTACCATGTGACAAGCTGTGACCAATCACAGCTCTCACAGTATTTCTCAATGGCTGCAGGAATGCAGCCAGAGAGAAGGAGAAATGATTGTTTTTACAGCCTTTATGGGTGTAAAAGCAATCAGTGTAAAAAAAGAAAAAAGAAATCTTCATCACCCCCACTATGGTGACACTGTACAGCTAGGGTGACAGTATGTTTAAAAAAAAAAAAACATGAATAATAATATAAAATAATAAACTAAAAATGTAAAAAAAAATTAGAAAAATTATAATTTTTGGTTATAAACTAATTTGGGTTATTTTTTTTTTTTTTTACTAAAAAGATAGCTGAATACATTTTGGCCAAGATTTATGAAGAAAGATTATTTATTTGCAAAATTGTATATGAAAAACACTTTTTTTCCAAGATTTTTGGACTTTTTCATTTATATAGCAAAAAAATAAAAATGCCAGTGGTTAATAAATACCACCAAAATAAAGTTTTATCTGTCTCAAAAAAATGCTAAAAAAATTCATATGGGTACAGTGTTGCATGACTGCGCAATTGTCATTCAAAGTGTGTAGCGCTGGCTGAAAATTGGCCTGGACAGGAAGGGGGGGGGGGGGGGGGGGGAAAGTGTACGGACTGGAAGGGGGGGAAAGTGTCCGGACTGGAAGGGGGGGAAAGTGTCCGGACTGGAAGGGGGGGAAAGTGTCCGGACTGGAAGGGGGGGGAAAGTGTCCGGACTGGAAGGGGGGGGGAAAGTGTCCGGACTGGAAGGGGGGGGGGGGAAAGTGTCCGGACTGGAAGGGGGGGGGGAAAGTGTCCGGACTGGAAGGGGGGAAAGTGTCCGAACTGGGGGGGGAAAGTGTCCGAACTGGAAGGGGGTGAAAGTGTCGGACTGGAAGGGGGTGAAAGTGTCCGGACTGGAAGGGGGGAAATTGTCCGAACTGGAAGGGGGGAAAGTGTCCGGACTGGAAGAGGGGGAAAGTGTCCGAACTGGAAGGGGGTGAAAGTGTCCGGACTGGAAGGGGGGAAAGTGTCCGAACTGGAAGGGGGTGAAAGTGTCCGGACTGGAAGGGGGTGAAAGTGTCCGAACTGGAAGGGGGGGAAAGTGTCCGGACTTGATGTGGCTAAGGTGCATTTGTATGGAATAAAACATTGCATGTTCAAACCTTTAGTATAATGTTAAAGTAGAAGAAAAGCCCAGGAATGCCAGCAGCCCATAGAAGACATGGAAGTGGTTAAACCAGGGGCGGACTGACCATTTGGAAACTGTCCAAGGGCCCGGGGTCAGTAGGGGGCCCCATGAGATGCCCCTGGTACCTTTTTCATAGGCTTTTTTGAGTTTGGGCAAGGACACAGGGGCCCCATGATCCCCTATTGCATGGGGGCCCCATGAGTTGTCAATCCGCCCCTGGGTTAAACACAGGGTTTACAGAGAATGGTCCAAAAAAGAGAAAATATCCCGTGAGAGGCAGTTGTGTGGATGAAAATGCCTTGTTGAGGTCAGAGGAGAATGGGCAGACTGGTTGGAGATGATAGAAAGGCAACAGTAACTCAAATAACCACTTGTTACAACCAAGGTATGCAGAATACCATCTCTGAACGCAAAACACATCCAATCTTGAAGCAGATTGGCTACAGCAGCAGAAGGCCACACCGGGTACCACTCCTGTCAGCTAAGAACAGGAAACAGAGGCTACAATTCGCACAGGCTCACCAGAATCAGACACCAGAAGATTGGAAAAAAACGTTGCCTGGTCTGATGAGCCTCAATTTCCCTAGAGATGGTCGTGCGCAGGGGCGGACTGACAACTCATGGGGCCCCTGGGCAATAGGGGATTATGGGGCCTCTGTGTCCTTGCCCAAACTCAAAAAAGCCTATGAAAAAGGGGCATCTCATGGGGCCCCCTATCTCATGGGGCCCCCCTACTGACTCCGGGCCCTCGGGCAGTGCCCCGAGTTTCCAAATGGTCAGTCCGCCCCTGGGTTGTGCGTGAAAATCCCAGCAGAACAGACCAGCCCGTCTGCCACCAACAACCATGCCACGTTCAAAGTCACTTTCTTCCCCATTCTGATGCTCGGTTTGAACTTCAGCAAGTCGTCTTCACCATGTCTAGATGCCTAAATGCATTGAGTTGCTGCCATGTGATTGGCTGATTAGCAATTTGTGTTACTGAGCCATTGAACAGGTGGACCTCATAAAGTGGTCGGTGAGCGTATGTTTGGGGGTTCTAACAAATCTTCAGGTCCAAAATTATTATTATTTTTTTTTTTTTAAATATGTACAAGTGGAAAACCGGCTCTGGCAGTGAAAAGGTTAATAGCCTTTGCAGGTGTTTTTTATTATTATTATTATTTTTATTTATTATTATTATTATTTTTATTATTATTTATTATTATTTTTATCATTATTATTTATTATTATTATTATTATTTTTATTATTATTATTATTATTTTTATTATTAGTATTATTATTATTTTTATTATTATTTATTATTATTTTTATCATTTATTATTTATTATTATATTATTATTATTATTATTATTTTTATTATTAGTATTATTATTATTTTTTATTATTATTTATTTTTATTATTTATTATTATTATTATTATTATACAGGATTTATGGCGCCAACAGTTTGCTCAGCACTTTACAATATAAGGGAGACAATACAGCAACAATACAGTTCAATACAAGAGGGAGAGGAGGGCCCTGATCCTGGGAGCTTACAATCTAGGAGGTGTTTTTGTTGTAGAATCACTTTGAAGTTTTTGTCTATGTAGGTTTTGTGTAGGTTTGTGGATTGACTCACCCGCCACCATTTGCAGTGAAGAGATCTCCGGATTTCGCCCCTGGAAGATGTTCCAGAGAGTGAATCCAACCACAGACAAGTCTTCACCTGTGAGCATTGCACAATGTGCGCCGTGCGTTGTTTGTCGTCTCCCGTCTGCTGCTCAGACCCGACCTGTACAATCATACACGGAAACTGGAAGTAAAGCCCCCCTTACTAAACCCACAACAGTACAATCAGTCTGTAGATGCAGTAATGCATGCTTGTTATACTCATTGTGGAACCTAAGGTGTTAATTCTCTGCATTATATATGAAAAAAGGCTGTTTGATCCTGTCTTCTCTGATCTTCCCCTTTCTTCTACTGTCCCCAATCCATCTGTTGATAGTACAGAGCTCTAGGAGACACTCTACATATGCTCAGTTTGATGTGTATTGCTAGAAAGTTTTTTGGGTTTTTTCTTTGGGAGAGTGCATGTGATCAGCACAGGGCCAATCAGCACAGTCCAGACAGAGGGTCAGGGGTCATGCACCCTCATAGGACAGTCAGAGGACAATGAAACTCATCCTACAAGATTAACCAGACACTGATAGAAGTCACAAGACTGCTATATACTACAGATGAGAAAAGGGATTTAGCATTTATATTAAATAAAATAATTGCATTTCCTTGTTCTGTGTACTGTGGGAGACCAAATATAGTGAATGCAGGGACCGGGGAGAGCGGATATAGTGAATGCAGGGTCCGGGAGAGAGCGGATATAGTGAATGCAGGGTCCGGGGAGAGCGGATATAGTGAATGCAGGGTCTGGGGAGAGCAGATATAGTGAATGCGGGGTCCAAGGAGAGCGGATATAGTGAATGCGGGGTCCGGGGGAGAGCGGATATAGTGAATGCGGGGTCCGTGGAGAGCAGATACAGTGAATGCGGGGTCCGGGGAGACCGGATATAGTGAATGCAGGGTCCAAGGAGACCAGATATAGTGAATGCAGGGTCCGGGGAGAGCGGATATAGTGAATGCAGGGTCCCGGGAGAGCGGATTTAGTGAATGCAGGGTCCGGGGAGACCGGATTTATTGAATGCAGGGTCCGGGGAGACCAGATATAGTGAATGCAGGGTCCGGGAGACCAGATATAGTGAATGCAGGGTCCGGGGGAGAGCGGATATAGTGAATGCGGGGTCCGGGGAGAGCGGATATAGTGAATGCGGGGTCCGGGGAGAGCGGATATAGTGAATGCGGGGTCCGGGGAGAGCGGATATAGTGAATGCGGGGTCCGTGGAGAGCAGATATAGTGAATGCGGGGTCCGGGGAGACCGGATATAGTGAATGCAGGGTCCCGGGGAGACTGGATATAGTGAATGCGGGGTCCGGGGAGAGCGGATATAGTGAATGCAGGGTTCGGGGAGACCGGATATAGTGAAGGCGGGGTCCGGGGAGAGCGGATATAGTGAATGCAGGGTTCGGGGAGACCGGATATAGTGAATGCAGGGTCCGAGGAGACCGGATTTAGTGAATGAAGGGTCCGGGGAGACCGGATTTATTGAATGCAGGATCCGGGGAGAGCGGATATAGTGAATGCAGGGTCTGGGGGACCGGATATAGTGAATGCAGGGTCCGGGGAGACCAGATATAGTGAATGCAGGGTCCGGGGAGACCAGATATAGTGAATGCAGGGTCCGGGGAGACCGGATATAGTGAATGCAGGGTCCGGGGAGACCGGATTTAGTGAATGAAGGGTCCGGGGAGACGGATTTAGTGAATGAAGGGTCCGGGGAGACCGGATTTATTGAATGCAGGGTCCGGGAGTCCAGATATAGTGAATGCAGGGTCCGGGAGACCGGATATAGTGAATGCAGGGTCTGGGGAGAGCGGATATAGTGAATGCACTGTCCGGGGAGAGCGGATATAGTGAATGCAGGGTCCGGGAGACTGGATATAGTGAATGCAGGGTCCGGGGAGAGCGGATATAGCGAATGCAGGGTCCGGGGAGACATGATATAGTGAATGCAGGGTCCGGGGGAGAGCGGATATAGTGAATGCAGGGTCCGGGGAGATCGGATATAGTGAATGCAGGGTCCGGGGAGAGCTGATATAGTGAATGCAGGGTCCGGGGAGAGAGGATATAGTGAATGCAGGGTCCGGGGAGAGCGGATATAGTGAATGCAGAGTCCGGGGAGAGCGGATATAGTGAATGCAGGGTCCGGGGAGAGCGGATATAGTGAATGCAGAGTCCGGGGAGAGCGGATATAGTGAATGCAGGGTCCAGGGTTTAGTAACACTTTCATGTGGACCTTTCATTATCTTGAGGCACACACATGAATACTGTACATTCTTAACATGTCTCAACATACAGCAATGGTAGAAGTTTGATAAGCTCCAACATTTTTTTTTTTTTGTAATTTCTTTATTTTACAGACAGCAAATGCAATACAGACAAATGTACTCTCACATACTGTATGGGTTGTCGGGAAATACTCTCACATATGGGTTGTCGGGAAATACTCTCACATATGGGTTGTCGGGAAATACTACTCACATATGGGTTGTCGGGAAATAATCTCTCATATGGGTTGTCAAGAAATACTCTCACATATGGGTTGTCGGGAAATACTCTCACATATGGGTTGTCGGGAAATACTCTCGCATATGGGTTGTCGGGAAATACTCTCGCATATGGGTTGTCGGGAAATACTCTCGCATATGGGTTGTCGGGAAATACTCTCACATGTGGGTTGTCGGGAAATACTCTCGCATGTGGGTTGTCAAGAAATACTCTCTCACATGTGGGTTGTCTTTGAAGGGAAATACTCTCACATGTGGGTTGTCATGTGGGTTGTCGGGAAATACTCTCGCATGTGGGTTGTCGGGAAATACTCTCGCATGTGGGTTGTCGGGAAATACTCTCGCATGTGGGTTGTCGGGAAATACTCTCGCATGTGGGTTGTCGGGAAATACTCTCGCATGTGGGTTGTCGGGAAATACTCTCGCATGTGGGTTGTCGGGAAATACTCTCGCATGTGGGTTGTCGGGAAATACTCTCACATATGGGTTGTCAAGAAATACTCTCACATGTGGGTTGTCGGGAAATACTCTCACATATGGGTTGTCAAGAAATACTCTCACATGTGGGTTGTCGGGAAATACTCTCGCATGTGGGTTGTCGGGAAATACTCTCGCATGTGGGTTGTCGGGAAATACTCTCGCATGTGGGTTGTCGGGAAATACTCTCGCATGTGGGTTGTCGGGGAAATACTCTCGCATGTGGGTTGTCGGGAAATACTCTCGCATGTGGGTTGTCGGGAAATACTCTCGCATGTGGGTTGTCGGGAAATACTCTCGCATGTGGGTTGTCGGGAAATACTCTCGCATGTGGGTTGTCGGGAAATACTCTCGCATGTGGGTTGTCAAGAAATACTGTCGCATGTGGGTTGTCAGGAAATACTCTCGCATGTGGGTTGTCAGGAAATACTCTCACATATGGGTTGTCAGGAAATACTCTCACATATGGGTTGTCAGGAAATACTCTCACATATGGGTTGTCAGGAAATACTCTCACATATGGGTAAGGCAGTACTGTTGAGTAGTAACAAATAACAGATAAACAAAGAAGAAAAAAATAAAAAAAAACCCACCAAACAAGACATTAGGTTCCCATGGGGCCCCAGGTTCCTGGACGCATTACGTAGGTACCCAACTCAAGGGGTTAATCTCCACTTTTCATCATTACTAACCATCCTTGATCTCCAGTCCAGTGACTTTGCCTAGGCTGAGATGATGTCATCAGTCTGCTGCAGGCAGGAGGAAGCATTTCCTCAATCCTCGCCCCCAGTGATCGGACTGCAACATTGTAGCAAGTCACAAGCCAAGAGGCTGCAGCAGGGGATGACCTGTCCTGTCTGATTGTGTCATCTCTGAGTCGCTGTCTCACTCCAGGAAGTAGATGGTGACCGTGGCGGGATGCCTGAATAAAGATGGCGCAGTCCTTCTGGAGAGGAAATCAGATGAAGGCATTGTTAGGGGACTGTGATCTCTGTGAGACGTAATAAATACTTAGAATACTTACACTGATACGTTACCTACCCAAGTTTAACGCCCCTACTGCAATATTTTATTCGCACAAACTAAGGTCAGTTGGTCAGAAAAACAGTTGATTGGAAAACAGCATCAGAACCCAGGTCCCGCACCCCCATTTTGATTGTTGTTGGATGCTCCTCCGGTTGGACCTGAGGCATTTTGGAATACGTCTGGAGGAAAAGAAATGTAATCTCCAAACACGGAAAGGTTTCTTGACAGTAAGAGCTGTGAGAATGTGGAATAGACTCCCTCAAGAGTTGGTTGTGGCCAGCTCAGTGGATTGCTGTAGGAAAGTCCTGGATTCTTTCTTGGATACACAGAATATAACTGGATATAACATTTATAGGTAACGTTGATCCAGGGAATATCCGATTGCCTCTCGGGGGATCAGGAAGGAATTTTTTTCCCATCAGGAGCAAATTGGATCATGCTTTGCTGGGTTTTTTTTGCCTTCCTCTGGATCAACTGTGGGTGTAGGATTATAACTTTTTTTTTTTTTAATGGTTGAACTGGATGGACTTTTGTCTTTTTTCAGCCAGACTAACTATGTGGCCTACTTACCCCAGGAAGCCTCAGAGCGCTGGAGACGTCATTCTCACATTGGTGGGGTGTGGGATGAAAACAAAAAAAGCGTTAGAAACAAACCAAGAAAAAAATAATGGTTTGCCTTTTTACATTGCGGAGGTGGGGAGGAGAGCAAAGCCCCCCCCGTATATAGAGGGTGAAAGTCCTCTTTAGGAACATCTCCACTCAGGGCCGGACTGACAACTCATGGGGCCCCCGGGCAATAGGGGATCATGGGGCCCCTGTGTCCTTGCCCAAACTCAAAAAAGCCTATGAAAAAGGTACCAGGGGCATCTCATGGGGCCCCCTACTGACCCTGGGCCCTCGGGCAGTGCCCGAGTTTCCAAATGGTCAGCCTGCCCCTTCTACATCGAAGGCCCATCAGAGCCCTCCCTTACATCTGAGCCCCCTTTACATCGGAATCTCCCCTTACATCAGGGTCCCCATCAGAGTCACCATTATATCAGAGGCCCGCCTTACATCTGAGCCCCCTTCACATCAAGGTCCCCATCAGAGTCACCCTTATTTCAGGATCCCCATCAGAGTCACCCTTACATCAGTATCTCCTCCCCCCTCTCCATCTAAGCCCCATCAGAGTCCTCCCTTACATCTGAGCCCCCTTTACATTAGTATTCCCATCAGAGTTCTCTTACATCAGAATATTCCCTTACATCACAGTCCCCCTTTACATCTGAACCCCATCAGAGTCTCCCCTTATATTATGAGCCCCATCATCATCATCACAACCCCCGCCAGAGTGTCCCTTTATATCAGCGCTCCCCCTCACATCAGGGTCTTCATTGGTGTCACCCATTACATCCCCATGGCACTCTCATGTCAGGATCCCTATCAGAGTGCCCCTTACGTCGGAGCCCCTCCTTACATCTGAGCCTCATCAGTGTCCCCCCTTACATCTGAGCCCCATTAAAACCTCCCCCTTACATCTGAACCCCTTCAGAAGTCCCCCCCTTACATCAGAGCCCCCTTTAATATCAGGTTCCCCATCAGAGTCCTCCCTTATATCAGAGTTCCACCTTACATCTGAGCCCCTTCAGAGGTCCCCCCTTACATCTGAGCCCCCTTTACATCAGGGCCAGCATCAGAGTCCTTATATCAGAACTTGCCCTTACATCACAGTTCCTCTTACATCAGGATCCCCATCAAAATCTACCCCTTACATTGGAGAACAAAATCAGTTTTATAAATGAATATGCCCCACTTTACATTTGGGTCCCCATCAGACTTCCCCCTTACATTGGGGTCCTCATCAGAATCCCCCTACATTGGGGTCCCCATCAATCAGATTCCCCCATAACATTTCTGTCCCCATCAGAATCCCTTTACATTGGTGTCCCCATCAGAATCCCCCCTTACATTTGGATCTCCATCACTGTCCCCCCTTACATTGGGGTTCCTGATGTAAAGGGGGCTCAGATGTAATGGGGGGGCTATAATGGGGCTTAGATGTAAGGGGGGGGTCTGATGGGGCACAAATGTAAGGGGGGGGGGCCTCTGATGGGTCTCAGATGTAGGGGGGGCTCTGATGGGTCTCAGATGTAGGGGGGGGCTCTGATGGGGCTCAAATGTAAGGGGGGGGCTCTGATGGGTCTCAGATGTAGGGGGGGCTCTGATGGGGCTCAAATGTAAGGGGGGGGCTCTGATGGGGCTCAAATGTAAGGGGGGGGCTCTGATGGGTCTCAGATGTAGGGGGGGCTCTGATGGGGCTCAAATGTAAGGGGGGGGCTCTGATGGGGCTCAGATGTAGGGGGGGGCTCTGATGGGGCTCAGATGTAGGGGGGAGGCTCTGATGGGGCACAGATGTAAGGTAATGGGGGGGGCTCTGCTACATCAGCGCCAGCGGTCCTAGCAACCAAAGATGGGGATGATGACAGCCACGTGTGTGTGGGGGGACCTGCGATGGTGACTGCAGGGAGAGAAAGCCGGGTCGGAGGGGGAGAAGGGGAGACCACAGGAAGCCTCTGTTGACCTGAATCCCCAGTCTGTGCCACTGACCCTAGCTGTGGGCCAGATAAAATCTTGTAACAGGCTGATTGTGGCCCGTGGGCCGTATTTTGGGGAACCCTTCCCTAGGACAAGAAGTGTGTTACTGGGCAGATCACCAGGTGAAAATGAAGTGAAAACAAAAAAGTCTGAAAAAAGAAAACAATGCAGCCACCACATCTAAGCACTGGTAAACTGCAATAGATGACATTTGTGTTCTGGGCGCTTGTATACACTTTGCGGGTCCCTTTAAAAAGCGACGGCAAAATGGATGGGAGAAAAGTGATATTTCTGTCCATTTTTTTCCACATGAAAATCCCGGAGCCACATGTCCGGGCCGCGCTGCTGCCTGAACTCCAAACTTTTATTGCCTCTCACACAATGGACCTCTGTCTTTTTGGCAGACAGGTTAGTGGGAACTCAACTTCAGCCTTTTGTCTT